TAGAGTGGTTTAGTTGTTAACGACAGTGGCTATCAAGACGTTCAAAGCCGTCTTACGAAAGCGGACGAGTGGTTTCATCCTCTATGATATGCACTGCATTGTGAGTTATTTTATATCCTGTATCATAACTCTGGCCGTAGCTGTTATGAGAGCTTTTTAAAGAATATACAGCAGATGCGACCTATAGTTGAAATATTAGTGTATATAAACGAAGCAAATTGTTTGTTAACATAATTTTTAAGAAGGTCGAATGGGCCCTGTAAGTGATTTCCAATAGGCATTTTTTTCTTTCAGGTCGAGTCTTTAGGGTGCAGAGAGTACATACAACGTTGGACATCAGCATAACTTAAATTTGAAATATTTGTTTCTTAGGTTTCCACGCACATCACTCATTAAATAAAACTAGTTTTTACGGGTTAATGAATAAATTATTCTGACGATGCAGACCTGAAAAGGCTGCGAAACGTCAATAAATAAATAAAGTTTCGTGCAATAACCCGTAAAAACTAGTTTTATTTAAATTTGAAATATCTAAAATAGAAATCCTTTATAAAATCGTCTTGGATTCAGACTGGATTCGAACCCGCATCTTCCGCTATCCAGGCGGATGCTCTAACCAATTATGCTACCGAGAACTTAATAGCAGTGTCGAATTTTCACTAGTGTTTCTTTGGCTGCACGGCATAGCGCCATCTGGATTGTAGGTAACCCACAATGTCAAACGAAATAAGTAGGTACCTTTACAAGTATTAAACATTTGAACGAAGAAAGAGCAATTGTGTTATATTATATTATTATTTTAAGCATTTACTACTTGATGTTGAAATGTAAAGAAATTTTTACTAGAGAAAGACGCGAGTGGAATATTTTCTCGTAAAATTTACTTTAGATTTAAACATCTAGCAGTTGAATGCTTAAAATAAAAATATAACAGCGCAATTAACTTTAAAAGTATATGTCGTTAGCTTTGCATTTAAAGTTATCGTTATTATTCAAGCGAATAGAAAGAACCTCAACACATACCCATCTCAGACCCGTCTTTCCCAGTGGGCACTTTGGACAAGTGCCCAGGGCCCCGTGATCGATAACTGGGCACCTTAGATCACAAATACAAAGTCCCTAGTTCTTGTTAAATCACCAAACGGGGGTCATATATAAATAGTCATAACGGGGCCCCATTATCCTAATATACCCAGGGCCTCCAATAGGTCAAAGACGGCACCGCCCATCCTAAAACCAGATATTTATTTTTGTTAAATACGTAGGTTTTTAAACGATAAGAGTTCTATTCTGAGATATTTATTTTCTAAATAATTTAATATCTACTAATGGAATTTTCTTAGAATAAATTATAATAGGAATAATATAAAGACATATTTATTCCACGTAACATTTAAAGCGTTGTGAATGTTCATTCGACACCGTTTTGTTTGAATATTTCGTTATGAACGATTACATAAAAGTTAAATGAGAATAAACGTACAAATTATTTATCTCTTTACCGTTGTATAGGGTTTTACACGCAGGCTTAAACCAATGTATATTTTACGGGTTTGGTTGTTATATTCCAGCAGTTAGTGGTGGTGTAGGAGCTTTTTCAATTGAGAGATTTTAGCTGCTGCTCTTTCTAATTTATCTTTCTAAATTCAAGCAAGTAATATTTCTATATTTAGTATTTGACTTATTAATTTAATCAGGAAGTTCTTTTCGTAAATGAAAAGGATAATAAGTTAAATAGGGATAATCACTAATTTTTTTTCTTCGTTTATCAGGTAGATTATCAAAAAGTATTGGACACGTATTTTTTCTTTTTTCACATTATATAAACATTGCAGAGATATATTGATTTGAAAAGTCGCATGACGTCACGTTTGAGTACACTTATAAGAGAAAATTCACTCAAAAGTGACTTCACGAGCCCCTACTCCCAAACTTTGACGCGCTATAACTATAACTTTGTCATTTTGTGGTTGATTGCCGAAAGAAAAAATAAGTGTCCATTATTTTTTGATAATCTAACTGACGGAATAAATAGAATTTCGTTTACTGTACCCCGTGATCATCCCTATTGATAATAAAAATATTTTTATCATTGGGTAAAAAAACAGCAATATATGTGAGGTGGTAGATGAATTAAGAAGACCAAATGAATTCTATTCATTGTTTATTTTAAAGCTGTTTTCTGGAATAGGAATTAAAGAAGTACTTACTATTTAAATGAGAAACGTAGTTCCGTGTGATTTGTGTTTAAAAGACAACTTATAAAGGAAATAACTTTGGTTTTGTGACTTTAAGGATAATTCTATCAGCCACTAACCAATGGTTTATTTATTAAATATAAGGTCTATAGATAAAAAAAGTTTATAGCAGTAGCTTTAATACTAACTACTGGACTTGGCAAAATCGTGATTTTCATTAATTCTGCTTATTTTTGATTTGTGATCATTATAAGTATAATAAAAGTCCCACCAGATTGCCATACTCTCTGTATGGCAATCTGGTGGCACTTTTATTATACTTATCGAATTACGTCAACATTCCCTGAGAGTGTGAATGGGTAATTTCCCCATGGAGTAAAAGGTGTGTTTCAATCGATAACTGGTTTTAATATTTAATACATGTTTTGATAGATGAGTTCCTGTAATAAAATATTAATATCTCAGGTAGTAGGAAATACAAGTCAAACAAAACTATAAAAAATATTGAATAAAATGTTTGATTCTATAGTTATTTATTAGCCCAGACGGGGTACTTTCCGGCCATAAAAAAGGTATATTTTATACCTAAACCACTAAACTAGACTTCTCAGAAAAATTGGCGGTTAGACAAGAACTGTTTATAAATAAGATATTTAAAATTAATAAATATTTGTCTTACGTTTCTCTGTCAAACTACGGTCCTATGATTGCTATAGAGGATCATCGGGTCTGTTTTAATATTTTTAAGAGAAATAACTAGTGGACGAGTGGACCCTGTAAGCGTTGTCCTGCCCAATAAAAATATGAAAGAAAAAAAGATCCCGACTATAGCGTCACCGGGTTCTTTTTTAGACTAAATCATACCATCCGAATTATTAAGAAAGGTAGGGCATAGCGGATTTTCCGCCCGAATTGGTGCGCCCGTCTGGGAAAGGAACCTTCACCTTATAGAAGACCACAGTTAAATAATACTACCTTGTGGTGGTGGTATTTTGTCGGTGTGTAAGGTTCCATGGCTCCACGGGGTATAGGATTGGTTCGGGGTAGGCAACGGTGCGAGTGATATTTTTTTGGATCACAAGCGTCAATTCTAGGCTATGGAAGCCGCTTACCATCAGGAAGACATTATGCTTGTTTGCCACCCTTTTAACAAAAAAAAGACGGGATGTACTCCGGGAGTGCCGGCAGAAGTGAGAACTTAAATATTAACGTTGTGCATTTTTGATATTTTGGTATGGTTAGGGAATAATTTTGCACGAATTGCTTTAATTATCAGTATAAATGTACTATCATTTAAGTAATACAATACAATATTCATTTATTGCGCTATCGTACACAAACATGACAATTTATATTACATTAAAGAAGTTTATCTTTCAGAAAAATCAACTTACATGAATCATGTTTAAGCGCACTTAGCGACATCTATTGTAAAGAAATCAACTTACATGAATCACATTTAAGCGCACCTAGCGACATCTATTGTAAAAAAACGCATGTTCTTCGCAATAAAGCTGCCACGTGGACGTCCTAGATAGAGACTTATTATTATAATACGATAAAATAAAATATTACTATGTTTCGTCCAATATACTGAATGTCAACAACCTTTCCAATTTTATTGTGTGTCATGATGCGAAGAAGTTTTCACTTCAAAAAAGGCACTTAAAAGCAATTTGTAGTAATTACAGTGTAATCAGACTTTGATCATTAATTTATTAAGAGCTTATGCTTATATTAACGTGCAAGGTAAGTAAATAAAAATAGGTTGTGATTATCGGAGAACAATAATGATCGTATTAATTAGTACAATCCACGGTCTACTAGCTTCCATCCAAGTAGTTGCAGACCTTGAATGTCTTAGAGTGTACGTAATGCACTAATTCAAGCGGATATATTCAGGTAATTAACACTGATAGCTCATCAAGACATTACAGTACTAATAAATGATGCGCGATTATAGTAATTGTGATGTGTTGCCCTTCCGTTAGGATACCTATCTTGTATACAATGCAAATGCACGTGAAGATGTTGACAAAATAATTATTATGTTGTGGATGCCATATTGTTAAAAAAGAATCATATGTTCTGCTTACAATGGTGAATTTGATAATATTTGGATGAATAAAACTACAAACTTAATTTACGATATAATGAAACAGTCATACACTTTAATGGTTTAATTTAATTTCAATAGATTATTTTTAAGTACAAATAATTAATTGATTATATTGAAGTAATTTTTCAAGTTGACTGTATATAAAGAATATTTAACTAGAAAAATATCCACGCGGATCAGGCAGCAGACGGGACTCGAACCCGCACCCTTCGCTATTCGGGCGAATGCACTGACCATTATGCTACAGTGGCCCTGACGGCCGTGTCGAATTTTCTCTAGCCTTCTAAAGCTGCAAGCCATCTCTTCGAATTGTTGGTAACCCACAATGTCAAATGAATACCTTTACAAGTATTAAATATTAGAAAGAAGTAATAGCAATTACTTTAATAAGTTATATATTTTAACATCTTTAGATTTAAACATCTAGCAGTGAAATGCTTTTAAAAAAATAGCAGCCCTTGCCGAGTTTCCTGCCGATTCTTCTCAGTACAGTGTCTACCGCCGCCATGCCGTATATTAAATTCTGCTAACTTCATGTGCATGATCACATTTCAAACAAACATTTATTTACTTTTACAGAGTTAACTGAATACACGATATTGGATTGAAATTCGATTAATCGTATTATCAATTATGTTTTTAGTATAGGTGATTTTTAAATAAAGATTGTGTTAATTTTTCAGTATGGACTTTACGCGTCCCTCACCGGTGGAATTATCTACGCACTTCTAGGAACGTGTCCCCAAATCAACATCGGCCCCACTGCGCTTCTGTCGCTTCTCACCTTCACATACACGAGTGGCACAAACCCAGACTTCGCTGTATTGTTATGTTTCATCGCCGGCATCATTCAACTGATCGCTGGAGTTTGCCAGCTTGGTGAGCCCTTAAGCCTGCCACCGATAGGCGCGTCATTATCGGTCGTTACTATAGGATGCGTTATTGCGATATTTTATTTCGATATTTTTGAAGCAGTGTGTAAGTTCGTAGCCGTCTTAATACATATTCTACTAAAAACAGATATGACAATAACGCATCCGATATTATCGACCGAAAATAACGCGCCTATGAGGGAAAGGCCTCATACTTTATAGTGAACTAGCTGTCCCACCGAACTTCGTACCGCCATAAAAAAATAGGGGTTGGTGGTAGAAGGGTGAAATTTAGGGTTGTATGTATTTTTGTATGATGTACTTATCATAAAAACAAAAAATGTAATCCAAAAATAAATTAAGGGGGGACCACCGTAACATTTAGGGGGATGAAAAATTGATGTTGTCCGATTCTCAGACCTTCTGAATGTGCATATAAAATTTCACGAAAATCGGTCGAGCCGTATCGAAGTAGTTCTATTACGCACACCGTGACACGAGAATTTAATATATTAGATTTGTTTTTGAAACAAAGTTCCGTTTCGCACAATACAGATTTGGAGGATGGGTGCTAGGCGAAAATAAAAGAAAGATGTCTGTGTGTGTATTGTGTGTAGTTGGATACTTATGTTTATTTTTAACTTTCAACGGAGTGTTACACGACACTCTTGTGTTTTGTTATTTTCTACGATTCTGATAATTTATTTCTTAAGCTGGACTAGCGAATTGATAATTTTATAAGGAAACTAGCTGTCCCAGCGAACTTCGTACCGTCATAAAAAATAGGGGTTGGTGGAAGACGGGTGAAAATTTAGGGTTGTATGTATTTTTGTATGATGTATAATAAAAAAAATTGTCCGAAAAAAATTATGGGTGGAGGGGATGAAAAATAGATGTCCGATTCTCGGACCTACTGAATATGCATATCAAATTTCACGAAAATCGGTCGAGCCGTTTCAGAGTAGTTCAATTACGCACACCGTGACACGAGAATTTTATATATTAGATATTAATAGTCAAAAAACATACGCGGTGTAAGTAAATATTGTTGGTGAAGGGACTGCCAACTTATCGCATTTGCTCCCAGATAAAAACTTAAGCTCTGCCTTAAGGCAGCATCGATAAGACGTGGCTATGGAAATGACATTAATACATGCATCCCATGGTGCACCTCACAGGCACCTCATATTTAATACATTGTCCTACATATTTTACCCATGATTTATTGGGGTATATATTTTGATCAGTTTTTACGATTTTTAGGTTTCCGTACCACAAAAGAAAAAAACGAACCCTTATAGGATCACTTTGTTGTCCGTCAGTCTGTCCGTCTGTCTGTCAAGACCGTTTTTCTCAGGAACGCGTGGAGGTATCAAACTCAAATTCAACACACTTTATCTGTACTATAACATTTTATAGTACAGATAAAGAAAAATTGCGAAATCCGTAAATTTTTAGTTACATCATATAAAAAAAATCAGGTTTGTACGGAACCCTCGGTGTGCGAGTCCGACTCGCACTTGGCCGATTTTTTTTTTATGTTAAAATGATAACGTCTAATAACTCGTTTTTTGGAAAAACTCACGGAGGTTAGATGTTTTTTTTGATAATAAATGAGATGCGAAATCAAAATTCTAATACATTATGTTACAATAAAAACATATTTCTGATGCTGTAGTTGATTTGATATAATTTATTGAACATTATTTAGAGATTCAGGCGTTTGAAGTTGTAATAATATCGTTTTTCCGTAAACTAGCCGCGGTAAAACGATCAGTACAAAAAAAGGAACATAGTATTTGCAAATATTCTACATTAACATACAATAAGAAGAATAAATCTACTGTTTACTTTTATTGGAAATAGTCAAAATCTTTTCGAAGGGGGTAAACGAGGCGCTCAAAAATTACGATTTTTTGCAAAAAATGTGAAAGGGCTCTTAAGTATTCTTAAATTGATTTATTCCTTAGTTATACAGGTTTATAATTTTACCAGAATATGTTCGATTTCAGGTTTCCTCGTGGAATTCGTGTCATTACCCGTGGTATCGGGATTCACGTCAGCTGCGGCCATAACTATTGCGTCGTCCCAAATTAAAGGCCTCCTTGGTCTTAAATTCAGCGCAGAGACATTCGTGGGCACTTGGAAAGGAGTCTTTGGGCATATCCAGGACACACGGTTGCCGGACACTTTATTGAGCTTGGCGTGTTGTATTGTGCTCCTAGGAATGAAGGTATGTCAGCTGTTTTATTTATCATGACAACTACATACTCATTAGTGAGTTACGTTAGTGATGTAAATGATTATGCGTGAGTTTGACAACTTAGTTCCACTTTAATTGTTCAGATAAAGTATCGATTAGGTAAAAAATGGGTTACCATCTGACGATATCAGTCAAAATGAGGTCATAATATTATTTTGTGACAATTAACAGTCCAAACGAGGTCAGGTTAAGTTATAGTAAAATTTAACTTTGATTAGCTCTGTGGTGCAACTGACACTAAATTATTATCAGTATTTTATATCCTGGACAGGTTTTTGGTTAATAATGAAAGAATAAAAGATCAAAGCATATAAACATTAAAAATAGCTAGTATCAAGATCAAGGGCCATCTTAATACTCATAGAAAACACCATGTATAAAATTGAATGCGTAAATAAATGTATTTGTTATTGAAATCGAATATTTCCAGTACAAAAAATATAAAATGATGAGATCACAGTAAGAGTCAAGTTCTCTTATATGAATTCGTATTCGTTTTGAAATGTTTTACCGTATATGATGATAATGCAAATTAGCATCACCTTCAAATGAATAACGCAAAGATGATGTTCACTGGATGGGTATTGTGTATGCTAAGAGGTTTTTTACGTGTCACAAAAATTACAAGGTCGTTACGGATTTTCCCACGACTCGATAATGAAAAAACAATTAAGTTTGGATTGAAGGTGTTTTTTTATTTTTTTCAAATAAATAACAGTAATTTTTTGCCTGCTAAAATTTCAACCTAAACGTGTTGCTATATGACTGTAAACAGCGAGGTTCTTCACCCTTATTTTTGTTGTTTTTGTAGTAGTACGTCCGATAGTGATGATTTATTTGCCATGGAATATAAGAGTAGGAGCGAAAGAAAAAAAAAAATTTTTTTTTGGCGCGGGAAAGCTTGAAAGTTAAAGGCGGTCTTTTGCGAAATTAAAATATTTTTTATATTTTATTGTTATAAAACACTTAAAAGTTATCTGAAGAATACTGTTTCAACTCTGCTGACATGGGCAGAGTTAAATCTAAAAAGCGGAAACGAAAACCTGGTGGTGATGGGGATAATACTGTCGACGAAGATGCTGCTTCGAGCTCCGGTTCTACATCTTCCGAAAATCTTTCTGGATTCGACGAAATAGATCAAGAATCTCCTACAGTGAAGTACAAACCCTTTGTATTACCGCATTATGTCCGGTCCTACTCAGAAAACGCAGGTGGTACAGAGTTTATAGTTTTCATATCAAGTACTGATGATGCTAGACCAGTAGGCAATAGAGACCTTATGTATCTGTCCAACATATTCCAAAGAAATATGAAGGGGATTAAACAATTTAAAAGAATTAATAAATTCAAGTTTGGAATTATTTTTGACAAACCAACTATGGCTAATGCAGCACTCCAGAATAAAGATTTTTTCAAACAGCACAGATTACAAGCCAGTATTCCAGCTTCTGCATCTGAGCAAATTGGGGTAATAACGAGCGTACCTATTGATTATAGCAATGCTAAATATATAAACATTTAACTTGTTCGAAAAAAATTATATCTATTCGTAGGTTTATGCGTAGAGTAAAGAACGATAGTGGCGCAACTACATTGCAACCAACGCAAACAATCTCAATTACATTCGCATCAACCACATTGCCAGAATCAGTAGAATTGAACTCATGGCTTTTTCCCGTGAAAAAATATGTTCCTCCAATAAAACAATGCTTTAATTGTTTATTATATGGTCATACAGCTGCATTTTGCAAAAATGCCACAAAATACTCGAAATGTGCAGGTAGTCATAACTATAGAAAATGTGATAGTCAAATACTTATCTGCTTTCATTGCAAAGGTAGCCATATAGCCATAGATAGTAACTGTCCTATAAAAAACCAAAAAAATATTGAAAATAAAAGAAAAATTAATAATCCAGTACCATATATTGACATCTTAAATACTAAGCAGTTTCCTGCATTACATAGTAAAAAACAAAATGACAATGAACATGACTTCACCAAATTGTTGATAAATGACCATATTGTAAATATTCTTGTACAAAGTCTAATTAAAATTAAGGCAAGCGGTGTAACAAATTCCAGTAACATTAAAGAAGCTCTTAGAGAAGTAGTAACATCATACAAAATTAAATAATGGCTTTAAGGGTTATCCAGTGGAATGCTCAGAGCATATTATGCAATAAAAATTGTCTTACTCATTTTTTATATGAACAAGACATTCATGTAGCATTATTATGTGAAACATGGTTAAGACCCGAATTAAATTTTACATTAAGAGGCTACACAGTAGCCAGGTTGGACTCTGGTAATAGACACAATGGTGTTGCAATTGTCATTAGAAACGATATCAGACACTATTGTCTGATATCGTTTCTAATGACAATTGCAATGTTTTGAATAGAGTAATCAAATGTAGTATCTATATACTACATTTGATAACTCTATTCAAAACATAGCTATTCAAGTAAGATTCCATAATACAGATCTTTCCATAGTAAGTATTTATTGTCCTCCTTATAGTACACCTAGTTTTTGTAAAAATAAATTAGATAATTTAATAAAGCTGATCCCTGAGCCAATGATAGTTGCTGGTGATTTTAATGCCCACAATACCTTGTGGGGGTGCCACTCAACTGATAACCGTGGTAGAGACATTAGTGACATAGTTGAAAACAATGATTTATTTCTATTAAATGATGGCAGGGCCACAGCAGTAGGTTCTGCTAGTTGGAGGCCAAGTGCTATAGATCTCACTATTGTTTCTTCTTCCATTGCTCTTGCGTGCAATTGGGAAGTCCATGATAATCCTCTTGGAAGTTATCACCTCCCTGTTATGACAGAAATATCACTACAATCACATTCCTATGCAAACTCATCATCTAACATTCCAATTCATTATAATCTCAAGTTAATAGACTGGAAAAAATATTCAATTTTAGTAAATCAGAAGCTCCAATCTTTTAACATAATGGATAATGTCATTGACTCATATAACAGTTTCTGTGGTGTACTACATGAAGCAGTTGCTGAATCAAGTCCTCAAAGACCCATATCTGGGTCAAACAATAGATTACCTCATAAAAAGTCTAAGTTAACAGTTCCATGGTGGAACATCACATGTAGTGAGGCAGTGAAAGCTTCAAAGCAAGCATATACTTTATTTAAATCCAACTCTACACCAGAAAATTATGTAAATTTCAAATGGTTACAAGCACGTAAAAAATTATCCTTAAACTTGAGCAAAAAAAAAGTTGGCAAAGTCTTTGTGAATCTTTTAATAGAAATACTCCCATTAAGTTTATATGGCAATATATGAGAAAATTTAATAGTACTTCTCCTGGTAGCAAAAGCTTTTTAGATAAGTGGGTCACCCCCTTTCTAAACAAGTATACCGAAGACAATGATTCAGAAACTTCTCCTTTTGTATTACTAGGACATAAATTAAATGACACCAATAACTTTATTGTAAACCCTTTTTCTTTGCAAGAACTTCAAAGTGGCTTAAAATCTCGTAAAAATACTGCATGTGGACTAGATTGGATATCTTATCGCATGTTTAAGGAACTAAATGATAGTTCACTTCAAACCTTTTTATATATCCTCAATTCATTATGGATCCACGATGAAATTCCTGATTCTTGGAAAACAGATTGTATAGTCCCTATCTTGAAACCAAACAAGAAACCAGGTTTAGTTGATTCATACCGCCCCATAGTCTTATCTTCATGTGTTGGTAAGATATTTGAACAGTTGCTTAAACAGAGACTAGAGTTCTATATAGAGAAATATGGAATTTTACCTGACAACCAATTTGGATTCAGGAGAGGGAAATCCACTCGGGATAGTATGTGTCATCTTCATCTGGATATTCTGAAAGCTTTCTCAGATGACAAAGCACTTCTTTGTGTCTTCTTTGATATAGTTGGTGCTTTTAACAACATTAACCACCAAGTTTTATGTTCGGAACTAAATTCCATTGGATTACCTGCAAAAGTCATAAATTGGATTTTTAATTTCATAAATGGTAGAAAAGTTTTTGTTAAATATAATTCTAAGCTGTATGGCCCTAAATACTCATTTAAAGGTAGTTGTCAAGGTAGCATTTTAAGTCCTCTTTTTTTCATTTTGTATATAAGAAAGCTTAATATAATCTTAGGAACTAGTGTATATAATTTGCAGTTTGCTGATGATTTAGCTATTTACTGTAGCTCTAACAGTATTCAGGAATCAGTTGATAAATTGAACCACACAATAAGAAGACTTAAATCATACTTTGATTCACTACATTTGAAAATTAGCCCAGAAAAAAGTAAAGTAGTTATTTTTAGCAAAAGAAAATGTTCAGTAAATGTAAATATTATATATGATAATTCAATTTTGCCTGTTGTAAATAATGTAAAGTTTTAAGGGGTGATATTTAGTAGTAATTTGTCTTTCAAGTCCTATGTTTTAAATATAATTGATCGTGCTAATAGAGCATTTAATATTTTGAGAAGTTTAGCGAAAACTTCATGGGGTTCAGATCCAAAAATATTAAAACTTCTATATAAATCACTTGTTCGGAGCCATTTCGAATATGGATTTTTATTTTATTCAAATTTAAATCAGTGTATAGAGAAATTGGAAAAATACAAAATAAATGTCTAAGACTTATCATTGGTGCAATGAATACATCACCAATCAATTCATTACAGATTGAATGTAATATTGAACCTCTTAAATTCAGATTTCACTATTTAAGAAAAAAAAATATTTTAAAACAATTTTCTGTCCTTAACAACAGACTACTCCCAAAAATATTAGGTTTCACAAACAACGTTAATTGTCCATTTATTTCTGAAAATGTAAATACTTTATATAACAATTATTATAATATTGTAAAAAGATATATGAATTGGCCTTGTTACTGGGGTAACTATGATATTAAATTTAATGACATTCTAGTTGATATTGATAACAAGTTGCAAA